CCTGCCCGCCCGCCGCGAGCCGAGCGGGGCCTGCCCGTGCCGGGGAGCGGCCCGGGGCCGCGCCCGGTTAGTCGGGGTCAGCCCCCGGGAGCGCGCGTGCTGCTCCTGAGCCCTGCCACGTTCATCAGCAGGTGGGCTGGAGCGTGTCTGACCGCGCTGCCGGCCGCACGGGTGCCTTCCCCGTACGGACAGCTCTTCCCTAGAGGTTGTTGGGTTTTTTTCACGTGAGCATGCCGGTTTGGACTTTGCAGCCAGAGTAATAACGATGTCACCTCGTGATCGAATACCAAAGTCCTTCGTGTGATCAAAACCCACGAAGCACCTTCTACCCTATTTGAGGCACAGGTGGGTGTTAGGGAGTGCCTGCAGGCAGAGTTGGCAGCAGCTCTCCAAGAGTTCCAGCAATCCCCGGTAAGGCAGGGTTGGATCAGACCTACAGCCGTGCTTTGGGGTGCTACAGCAACATCAGGCTCGCATCCTTCAGAAATAAACGTTCCCAGATACACGATTTGGCTTGGGCATGAGCTGTTTGGTAGCTGAATGGGGCTAAAAAATCGCTTGTTGGCCACCTGAGTAGCATTTAGATATCATCCATATGTATAGTCTTATGTTGTTTCTTACAGCATTCCTTCAGGAATCAGAACTGTTGTGCTCACTGATTGCTATGTTTAAATATGTGTGTATATTTAAAATGACAATTTTATGTTTTGAGATGGTAGGTAGCTAATCTGTTTTGCGTTTCGCTCAGCTGATCCTCTTGAAATGGACATTTTTGGCACATCTCTTCCACTCTTCCATAGTAGTATTTGGTGGATTCTTCTGAAATTGTTAGGTTGTAATTTTTTTTTTTTTTTTTTTTTTGCATGTTTACCGTTGAAGAAGCTTAGCAGGCTGGATTGGTGGTTAACAGTTAGCATAGCCAACCCTATTTTACATAGAGCTCTTGGAAAAAGCTGCTGGTTTTCTGCTTTTATTGCCCACCTCCATAGGCTGAAGCTTAGCAGGTAAATGTTGTGAAAGAAAAATATTCAGAAGGATAGAAATAGATAAAATAAGACGTGGAGTCCTGCCAACTGATGCCAGGGAAGTTTTGTCATTGATTACAGGATTTCATAGCCTTGTCCCTGAACAATCTGAAATGTGACATCTGCAGGGATGAAGCTGCAAGTTGACCTTTTTTTTTTTAATTATTATTTGTTTCCACTTAGGAGCTGTGAACAAAGAGTTCTTTTTGTTCGATTGTTTTAGTTGTGAAAGGAGTTTTCAGAACCGGTAGCCATTTTTTTTTTAGATGCTAGATAAGCAAATGAAATGATAGGCAGTAATTCTGATCTGAGAAAAAACTAACTGTAGCCATTTTTTAGGATTTAAAAACTTTTTGATGAAAGTCTGTGTCAGCATTCGTGTTGATTTTTTTAAAAGAAAGTTCAGAGGCTTCAGAATTGCTTCAGAAATGGTTGAACTCTGTTGACTGGTAAACCAAATGATAATTGGTGTGTTATAGTGCAGAATTCTACAATATTTCTTAGTTAAAGCTGTTCTGTTCTTGCAGGCACTTCCTTTCATATGCACAATAAAAATGGCAGAAACAGCTCCCGATGCTTCTGAGAAACTGGTTGTCATCCACTCCAAAGCTCACAAAGACACCATTCTAGCTAATTTTGAAGAACAAAGGAAAAAGGATTTTCTTTGTGACATAACCCTAATAGTGGAGAATGTGCAGTTCAGAGCCCATAAAGCTTTGCTTGCTGCCAGCAGCGAATACTTCTCAATGATGTTTGTAGATGAGGGTGAAATAGGGCAGTCGATCTACATGTTGGAGGGAATGGTTGCAGACACCTTTGGAGCACTGCTAGAGTTTATCTACACTGGTTGCCTCCGCGCCAGTGAAAAAAGCACAGAACAAATTCTGGCGACTGCACAGCTGCTGAAGGTGAATGACTTGATATGGGCCTGTACAGACTGCCAGGCCAGCCGTAGCCCGAGTGGCACGTTACCGGCTCCACCAGGAGCCTCTGTAGCCGTTATCGCAAGCGACAAGAAAAACGAGGAACCACCAAAGCGAAAGCGAGGGCGACCGAGGAAAGTGCAGAATGTCCAAGAAGAAAAATCAGCCGCAAATTCTGCCGAAGATGTGCAGCTGAGAGAGAACAACTCCATGCAAAACAAGCAAAACTTCATGAAAAAAGACACCGTGGAAGAAGAAACAGTTGTCAGCGAACAGGTTCCGGCGAGGAAGGATGCGGAAGAAACTGAACCAGCTTGTGGCTCAGAAGCTGCTGTCGATCTGTCAGCTGAGAAAGATGAGAATTACGATCCCCAGTCTGAAGGAATACAGAGCACTCAGAGCCGTTATAGCAAACGTAGAATAAGGAGATCAATCAAACTAAAAGACTATAAGCTTCTCGGTGATGAGGATGAAAAAGAACTGGCAAGGAGAACTGATGGAAAAAGAAAACGCGCAGGTTCTGAAGCTCGCTGTAAAGACTGTGGCAAAGTGTTTAAATATAATCACTTCTTAGCCATTCATCAGCGCAGCCACACAGGTAGGCATCAGGAGGCTGCTGCGTTTGGGTGAGGGTTTAGTCACTTGTTGCGACGCGTCAGTGAGCTGTTGAAGTGCGGGCTGTTGTCTGCCGCGAGAACTGTCCAAAATAGCATGCTGATCCATTGTGATGTGGATAATCCAAATGATTACGGTGTGTCTGTGGGACTGTGTTCGCTCCTTTATTCTTGTCAGCAGATCTTGTAGCCTTTATGTCATGCCTTGATTGCAGTTTAGTTAGTCATTTCTCTGTTTAGATGTTGAACTTTATAGCAATACTTAAAAGAATTATCATAGAATCATAGAATGGTTTGGGTTGGAAGGGACCTCAAAGATCATCTACTTCCAAGCCCCCTGCAATGGGCAAGGAAGCCCTCCATACACCAGGTTGCCCAAAGCCTCATCCAACCTGGCATTCAACACTTCCAGGGATGGGGCACCTACAACTTCTCTGGGCAACCTGTTCCAGTGCCTCACCACCCTCTGAGTGAAAAATTTCTTTCTTATATCCAATCTAAATCTGCCCTCTTTCAGTTTGAATCCGTTGCCCCTTATCCTATCACTACACGCCCTTGTAAAAAGTCCCTCTCCAGCTTTCCTGTGGGCCCCTTTTAAGTACTGGAAGGCTGCTAGAAGATCACCCCGGAGCCTTCTCTTCTGCAGGCTGAACAGCCCCAACTCTCTCAGCCTGTCTTTGTAGCAGAGGTGATCCAGCCCTCGAATCATCTTCGTGGCCCTCCTCTGGACCCGCTCCAGTAGCTCCCTGTCCTTCTTGTGTTGGGGACTCCCGAGCTGAACTCAGTATTCCAGGTGGGGTCTCACAAGAGCAGAGTAGAGGGGCAGAATCACCTCCCTCGACCTGCTGGCCACGCTTCTTTGGATGCAGCTCAGGATACAATTTGCTTTCTGGGCTGCCAGTGCACATTGCCGGCTCATGTTGAGCTTCTCATTGACCAGCACTCCCAAGTCCTTTTCCTCAGGGCTGCTCTCGATTCATTCTCCGCCCAGCCTGTACTTGTGCTTGGGATTGCAATTATTTTATTGCCATGTGAAGCTGGTCTCTGAATTTGCCTTACCACCACTTAAAAGTAATTTTTCAGTAGCTATTACACTGCAATGCATCTCACTACCAGGTTAGTGAGAAGTCATGTATCTATACTTACGGATGTCATCTTTCGCTTTTAGGGGAGCGCCCTTTTAAGTGCAGTGAGTGTGGCAAAGGCTTTTCCCAGAAACATTCTCTTCAAGTCCATGAGCGGATGCACACTGGAGAACGGCCATACACGTGCACCGTCTGCAGCAAGGCTCTGACAACAAAACATTCTCTTCTGGAGCATATGAGCCTACATACAGGTAAACGTTTCAAGGCAAATTTAACCTCTCTTCCCCAAGAGTTTGCCTTTCTGAAAAAAAGTGTTTCTGCTCTCTCTCGTGTGTGCTGGTTTATTTATTTCCTTTTCCTTGCGCTTGCTTTGGATGTGCCTTACGTTTTAATAAGTGATTTTCTTTACAGGACAGAAGGCTTTTACATGCGATCAGTGTGGGAAATACTTCAGCCAAAAGAGACAGCTCAAGAGCCACTATCGAGTACACACAGGTATAACAAGTTTGGCTGGAAGAGCTGGCTTACAGTCCCTGCTGATTTGTCCTTATAAAGATTGACTTAGCCTGAAAATTCTTCTTCGGTGACGCGTTTTGTCTCTGCTGCCCTGATATGTGGTATCTTGATATAACAATGAATAGGGGAAAAAGACAAAGTGGTGTATAGTAAATGGAATGTTTAGAAAAATAGTTAATTGAGAAGGACTCTTCTGATAATTAAAAAATAGTCACGCTGTATTCAACATACAACTGCATTATTTTAGCCCTGCTGTCTGTGTTACATTTAAGCTAGGAATTGTATAAACAATTGTGTCCGCTGCCTGTTGCGCAAATTGCCTTGTAGTTTCCTGCTACTTTGGACTAGCAATGGCAAACAAGCTTTAAGGAGTGTCCTCTTCACTTCTGGAACAGGATGGAGGTTAAGCTAGACACACAGGAAGTGGTGGGAAAAAACAGAATTTACAAAGCTTTGAGAGAAAGCATGTTTGGGGGGGAGCAGGTGTCAGTCCCCTCTTTTCCCATGATAATATCAAATAGAGAAATAGGAGTGTGACAGTTGAGAGAGGGAGGAGGCAGTGAATCACCCTTTCTTTTATCTCTATATTACATCAAAGTGGTTATTTTACAGGAAAGTGCTTTAACAAAGATCACTGAAGAGATACAGGGGATCACTTATGCACTGACACTTTTTTTATTGTTGCGACAAGGCCGTTCACTCCCGGAATGCAACCAGTGTCGTCGCAAATTCATGGATGCAGCTCAGTTAAAGAAACATCTAAGAACACATACAGGTAATACTGACCCTCATGTTTTGTTGTTGTTTTGTTGTGTTTTTTTTTCCTTGAAATAATACAGACAAAACAATGTTAGGTAAATAACACTTGTCTCTGTGGGATGAACTTCTCTACTTCTGCATAACGATGCCTGTATCACTAGTGAAGAGATTTGACATCAAGAATGCAGGAGCACAAAAAAATTTGCTTTAAAACAGCTCAGAAGCAATGCCTGTTGTAGGAGGAGCTTTTTTTTTTACCCATTCTTATAAAGCCTGCTGCAGAAAATGCCAGTTAGCTCTTGTCGTGGCTTAACCTGACCGGCAACAAACACCATGCAGCAACTCGCTCAGCCTCCCCAGCCCTGGGGGAGTGAGGGAGAGAATCAAAAGGGAAAAGGGAAGGAGACTCGTGGGTTGAAATTAGAACAATTTAATAATTGAATTAAAATAAAATTAAAAGTAAGAATGATTAAGAAATTATAAAAATTATGATGATAGAATGTAAAAACGAGTGATGCACAGTGCAGTTGCTCACAACATGCTGGCCAATGCCAGATCCCATCCCCGGCTGGTATCCCGAAACAGAGAGATCCCAAAACTGTAATGCCAGAAGAGAGGGGGAGAGAGAGAGTGCACTTCCCAGCCAACTGTCACTTATATGTTGAGCAGGACATCACACGGTATGGAATATCCCATTGGTCAATTTGGATCAGTTGCTCTGGCTATGTTCCCTCCCAGCTTCTTGTGCACTTGCACACTGGCAAAGCTTGGGAAGCTGACAAGTCCTTGACTTCTTAGCAACAACTAAAAACATCAGTGTATTATCAATATTCTTCTCATACCAAATTCCATACTAAATCCAAAACACAGCGCTATTCTAGCTACCAAGAAGAAAACTAGCTCTGTCCCAGCCAAAACCAAGACAGTATCCACCCCTTATTCCATACCATCCATGTCACGCTCAGGTTCCACCACTTTTCCTGTCTTTTGACATATGCACACAGATACCATTCCCTTAGTCTATGGGCCATCCCTTCAAAAATGTCTCTTGAGTTCATTTAGTCCGTAACTTTGGGTTCGGTTTGTCAAGACAGTCTTTCAAGGCAGGAGAGATGATGGGGAGTTCGCTCAGTCAGTGGTGCAGGTGACGTGGGACGCAGCAGGAGGAAGGTGTGCAGTCTCTGTTGCATGCTGCAGTCTGGAGCTCGTAGCTGACGCAATGTGTGCTCATGGTCTGCAGGTTGAAGGTGTCAATCTCAAGGACGTTGCTGGCCACCAGATCAGGTTCCATCAAAGTTCATTCTTCATTAACCTAGGAGATTCTTACTATAATGCCATTAATATACTATGTAGCAACCATAGCAATGATCGTATGCAGTGGCACAGTTATTTAGCAGTTAACATCATACAATTAAATTAATTGGCTATTTTCACCCAAAATCAAATCCCCTTGAGGTACACATCGGACTTCTCTATCCTTCTGCATCACCTGCCAAGAGCACCCAGGTCCTTGAGCAAAAACAATCCCACGAATGGGTTTACCTTTACCCGAGGCAGGAATAACCCAGAGTGCCTTCCCCAGCATATTGTTAATGTGCACTACAGGGACTCTGTCCCCTTCTACCATACGTAAAAGTTTTGGCTGGGCAGGACCAGCTCGACTGGCAAATCCTCTAGTGTTGACTAACCAGGTGGCTTTTGCTAAGTGTGTATCCCAGTGTTTGGAAGTTCCACCACCCATTGCTCTCAGTGTAGTTTATTATATGATGGGGCCTCTTCAGCACAAGTCACCTGCTCCTCTGGTGATGTTCCGAAATCTTTGCCTTCTGGCCAGTTCATGATCACTTCCAAAATTCCCAGGCGACTGCAGTTTCCTGTCCAAGCCCTTTGTGTGATCAGTGTGACCCGCTTACTCCACGTAGCATCAGTTGCATGATGTGTAGAGGGGACCCTCTCTTTGAACATCCAGCCCAGCACCGGCAGTCGGGGTGCCAGGAGCAGCTGCACTTCAGTACCAACCACTCCTGAAGCAGGTTGAACCCCTTCGGGCCAGTATCTCTTTTTCAGTTGGAGTATAGTGGGCTTCGGATCTTCTGTACCCCTGACTCCAAAACCCAAGGGGTTGGCCTTGAGTCTCCTCTGGTGCTTTCTGCCAGAGACTCCAGGTAGGGCCACTCTCCCCGCCGCAGTGTAGAGCACGTTATTAACATCTCGTCCTGTGTGGACTGGCCCAAGGGCTACTGCATGAAGTATCTCCTGTTTAATTTGTTCAAAGGCTTGTTTTTGCTCAGGGCCCCATGTAAAATTGTTCTTCTTTCGGGTCACTTGATAGAGAGGGCTTGTAATCTGGCTGTAATTTGGAACATGCGTTCTCCAGAAACTCACAACGCCTAAGAAAGCTTGTGTTTCCTTTTTGCTAGTTGGTGGAGACATAGCTGTTACATTATTAATCACATCCATTGGGATCTGACGACACCCGTCTTGCCGTTTTATTCCTAAAAACTGAATCTCCTGTGTAGGTCCTTTGACCTTACTTCGGTTTATGGCAAAACCGGCTTTCAGAAGGATTTGGATTATTTTCTCCGCTTTCTCAAAAACTTCTTCTACTGTCTTGCCCCATACGATAATGTCATCAAGGTATTGCACATGTTCCAGAGCTTCACCTTGTTCCAGTACAATCTGGATCGGTGCATGGCAAATGGTGGGGCTGTGTTTCCACCCCTGGGACAGTCAATTCCATGTGTACTGGGCACCCCTCCAAGTGAAAGTGAACTGTGGCCTGCACTCTGCTGCCAAAGGGATTGAGGAAGATACGTTGGTGATATCAGTTGTGGCGTACCACTTGGCTGCCTTGGACTGCGGTTTGTGTCGAAGTTCTAGCGTGTCTGACACGGCCGCACTCAGTGGTGGCATGACTTCATTCTGGCCACGACATCCCGCCGTCGGTCTCTGCTCTCTGTTAGCCTTTCGCTTCCCTTTCTTCTTCGGTGTGGGGGCGACTGGTACCGGTGCAGGTTGGTTCTCTGGTTCATCTGTGGTGCGTCTCATGGAGGTATCATGAGCCACGGTGCTTGTTGTGGGAGTTTGAGTAACTGTGATGCCTGTTGTCGGGGTTTGAGTAGCCACAGTCACTGTCGTTGGGGTTTGAGTAGCTACAGTGGCCGTCGTTGGGGCTGGAGTGCGGCGCCTGCGCTTGCATCCCACACCGGTAGCAGGTGGCAGTGGAACAACCGTGGCAGGAGCTGGGAGCGAGGTGCGGGGTTGGGGTAGCCGCAGCGCCGATCGTGAGGGCTGAGGTAGCAGCTGAGGTAGCTGCTGAGGTAACACGGATAACGAATCGGATGATCTTCCTGAACAGTCGGTTAACCCTGGTGGTGTTTAGAATTAGACAGACGTTCAGGAGACCCAGCAGCAGGATCGTGCTGCTTTGACAGCCCCACGGCTGCTCAACATCCTCAAAAGCTTTTGTAAAGGCTCCAGAGGAGAAGGGGGGACATCTCCATCTCCGCCGTGGGCTGGCTCTCCCGGGAGACAAAGCAGCCGGTGTGGCTGGGGGGCGCGGGCCCCCGGGGGGGGGC